CCCCCCCCCTCTCCCCCCTCCCTCCCTCCCCCTGGCTTCCCTCATACGTTCAAGGAAATAAAAATTTTTTTCCCATCTATATTCATTAGTGGAACTCGTGCCGCAATTTGCCCCCATTCCTTAATACTCCTTTTTTTCCAAGTTATTGGAAGTCAAAAAATAATTTCGGCTTTTTTTCACTTAATAGTTTCACTAAACTTGGTAAAGAGCAGCGCACACTTCGAAACAACATATATAAAATTAGTTTAATTAAAACCACTTTTTAAATCCATACCATGGGCAGACTATTAAATATTCATACGAAAGCTTTAATCAGATGAATAATGTAGCGGATCGCTACCTTAGTTAAAGCCTGACCGACTCAGAAATCTCTATGGCAGATCCTGTTACATCTAGCTAGACTCCCAGAACCAGCTAAGTTATAGCCCAGCTATAAAGGAAACAGACGTGTAACACGGCGCACGTTTATTCAGGACGCATATTGCGGATCAAGTGTACACGCAGGGAGCTACTCATGATCAAGATGGGGGATTAGGTTAAACAGAGGTTGATGATTGGTCACTGTTTGTACGGCCGCTGCACACAGAGTTGTACGGCCGCACCTCCCAATCCTGGCGAGCAGACATGCAGGCATACGATGACGCACAGAGCGATAACGTGTCCCACAATAATTTAAATTTCTTGAAAATCCAGGGATAAACTCAAAGTCTGGCATTCGACGTAGAAGAGATTATTCTAGCAGTTGCAAATAGGCATCCAAAGTGCCAATTTGTCTGCTAACTTTTAAACCTAGCGTCTACAACCCCAGTCGGTTTCTAAGTGCTCAGTTTATGAGCGTATAGATAGGAGAGACTTGAAATTTGGTCTAGGAGAGTTTTTAGTGTTATTACATCCCTACTCCTCTCAAAATGAAATAATTATGCTTCTATTTTGCCCTATATACGAGAATATACATAGTTCATACGACTGCAATTGGTAATGTAAAAGCAAATTCTTGTTCCATCAGATAGTAAGAGCATATTGATAATTTATGTGAATTCAAAAAAAACAAGAGGCCGTCTGTAGGCATGAAGACAGTACTGGGAATCAATGCCCCTTTTTCAACAAGATGCATGTTTCCAAATTTACCCCACCTCATTTTTTCCCTAATTTATAGTTTGTGGAAAAAACCTGTTTTAATAGAAATCCAACAGGCTCCTATGCTTTGAAAAAATCAATGTATAGGAAGGATGATTGATATTTCAATTGTAAAAATAAGAAAAAAAAACTTGAAGATTTTAATATCTCAGCTGACAACATTTTCATTTATGACTCAAAATAAAAATTAAATAACTTATATTTTAAGAAAAATGATGCCTGCTTAAAAATAATTTACAAACTTTTGCAAGTATAGGTTAAGTCGATAAAGGGCAAGGAAATAACAAAAATGGACAAAAGATCACCATTTGAAAATTGACTAAATTTACATATTTTCATTTAATTAATACGACTTATGCTATGTTAATATGTTTAACATTAAAATAAAATAAATCTCTCCCTAAATTAGGTGGCCATGATAATTCCGATCAATTAAATAAAAAGCAAACAGTAAAATGTTAATGAATAATTTTGCCCAATTGCATTGCAGCATAGAGCGCTAAGGATTTATATGCCAAAAATAATTATTTAATTTATATAGTGTTAAATACATTAACTTAAAGTGGCAGCCAATCTCTTAATGATTTACCATTTTGGGTTCACGAAAAATTGGGCAATTATAATAGAAGATTCAATTTAATTGGCCTGCCAATAAGAACTGAACATATGGGCCTTGAACTTCGTCATTAGTTCGTAAGGCTCTGTGGTTTGACTTCTCCATCATGAAGTGGAGAACGTATCAAAAGTATATAGGGCACAACCTAAACTCCTACACTGCCTTAGTTTCATGATTCCATTGTAAATATCCATTTAATACCCTCTCATAACCACTTATTGACTATCTAATTACTTTTTCTTAGTGAATTAGGTGAAAAAATCTGCTTTGGCATATAGTCTATTAATATGAAGCCTAAGAATGTGCTAATAAACGCGAACACCCAGGAATATAAGCAGGCGAGAGGTGACGTTGACCTAGTAACACATCGAAAACGTACTTAGAACGTGCTTAGAAATATGATAGTAAAGAACACCGAACGTCACGTTAATAAGTACATCACAATATGGATCATAAAATTATCTCATTAAACAGGCACCGGAGGAGTTGAAACGTTTTATTTAATATAAAACCGATCTGGGCAAAGCAATTTTTAATTAGTGCATTTACTTTATGCATTCCGTTTGTACAACATTGTTTCAATGTTCAGGGATCTTAATGCGCAATAAATGCCATTGACAATGACAATAAATTCTACATTCAGCGTATCTGATAAATATTCCTCCAAATAAAGTTTAAATGGGGTATGCTAC